GAGTATGCCCTCAATGTGGCAATACGTCTCATTAGAGGATGGCAATGAAGTGACAGGCGGAGTGTGGCATACTGCGTAGCCACATGGGCCTGCAGGGCCCGTCCCGCATTCCCAGCCTAAAAGCCTAAAAATAAGGGCTTACAGGCCCCATGTCGTTTCAGCCGGAGAACTGAAAACGAGGGCCTGCAGGCCCTATTTCGTTTTCAGCCTAAAAAAGGGTTTTTCAGCCCTGAGGCTTTTCAGCCTGAAACGGACGGCCACTTTCAGGCCCTCATAAGATCGACCTTCCCTAACACTCAGGCACAAAACCAGGGACAGCCTCAATAGGAGTTGCAGCGCCAGCCCCAGGTTCACCCTAGCATCGGCAAGAGCAGCCTCCTGGACTGCCTCGCCCTGCGGTTGCAGGCAGTCAGGAGGTAGGCCGAGTAGTACATAGGGAGTTCCCATGCACTTCACGGGGAGGTAGTTGGACAGAAGGCAGGAGGCAGTCTTCAGGATTCGGCCGCAGCACTCTGGAGGAGCGNGTACATAGGGAGTTCCCATGCACTTCACGGGGAGGTAGTTGGACAGAAGGCAGGAGGCAGTCTTCAGGATTCGGCCGCAGCACTCTGGAGGAGCGTTGCAGGAGTAGCTTAGCACTAGCAGTAGTCTTCAGCGYTGGGCGCTACTAGCTGCAGRAGTAGTTYTCMGCGCARGGCGCTAAGTAGTAGTAGTGGTAGTAGTGTTGGARAGAGATGGCTGGCGGAGGCTAGCGAGACTTACCTGTGGCGCCATAGCTCCGAGTCCAGCTCCATCTTCGAGGTACCTACATCAAGGCGCCAACTTCACAACTTAGTACCGGACAAAGAGAGAGAGAGAGAGAGAGAGAGAGAGAGAGAGAGAGAGAGAGAGAGTTCTTCTTCTTCCTCTTCTAAGTCCACCATCTCTTCTTCACCCTCTCACCACCTGACTTCTTTGTATCAGCAGACTACGACAGAGAAAGAAAGAGAGAGTTGTGACTTGGGACTTGATGACATTGGATCCAGACTCGACATTGGGATTCAGACATTTTGACGAGGGACTATTTGGGCCTGTGTCGAAGACTTCGTGTTGACAACATTCCCATTTTTCCCTCTTCTTCGTCCAACCCCCCTCTTCTTCATCTGTGTATGATTGGGGCTGGGGCATTCTTCCTATGTGAGCGCCAGACCTCTTCACACCATAGAGTGATGATGATGATGTATGTTTGGGGCTGCATTGCTATATTGATTGTTCAGAACATTGGTATTTAAGTCTTCCGCTACGCTATCTTGTACTTTGTATTGAGAGGTCGGTTCTTGTTCTGGTCTGCACCTTTACAGTATGCAACAGTTTGGTATCGGAGCGGGGCTCTCAGTCAGAGGACCCACTCAATCAAGTAGCCAGCTTGCTTGATCTATTGATTACTCATCAGTAAATCAAGTAGGACTTCGTCAAATATCTGAAATTTTTTTTTCTCGCAACAAATATCTGGAAATTTCAAATAATCGCATTTCGTTTTACTTGAAAATTTCTGATATTGGTATTTCGTTTTCACGCAACAAATATCTGAAAATTTTTGATAGTCGTATTTCATTTTTATCTGAAATTTCTTGATAGAAGAATTTCGTTTCTCTGATATTCGCATACATAGCCAAAAAATTTTGATGCTAACATTTCGTTTTCTAGGCATAATAGGATAACGATAGAGGTGGTCATATTCTCGGAAACCAGATTTATTCTCTTCTAAAAATCGAATCTCCATTCTATCTCGCAAAAGTTTTTTGAAAACCGAAATCTTGCGAAGCCTATCAGCATTTCGTTTTAGGCATATTAAGAGGTTGTCATATTCTCAGAAATTAGATATAGYTCTTTTCTGAAAATCGCATCTCTAYTCTATTTCGCAAATTTTTTTTTTTCAAGATCGCATTGTTGTGAAAGCCGAAACTTTGTGGAACCTGGCCTAGATCTTGCTCATAGTACTCTTCTGACATGCCTCAACCATAACAGATCTACAGATATATAAAAAAAAAAACAAAAAAATAACGTAGTCCTCTTTTTTTATCTTTTTATTTATTTATTTATTTGTTGATTAGGGTCGAGACGAAAGTATTGTTGGGTTGGTTCCCTACCTGGGTTTTTCCCTCCCACCCACCCCTTTGCCTGCATTCTCGGTTTTGTACAGTTTCACGTCAGCAGTACCACATCAGCAACAGTGCCACATAAGCAGTGCCATGTCAGCAAGAGTGCCACGTCAGCAGTGCCACGTCAGCAGTGCCACATCAGCAGTACCTCGCCACCATGACGGGCTAAGCTCTGGGCATGCCAGGCCAACTGGCCAACGAGTCCATTGCCGAGTACCGACAGCATTTCGAAGCTCAGCTCGCACTAATCGAGGCGAGGGAACAACACCAGCTGGCAGCCGAGGTTGTCCACCTACAGGCTGAAGCGGCGGCAACAGATGAGAAGCAGAGGCTTCAGGCCGAAGCAGACGTAGATACCCAGGCACGATGCAAGGAAGCCCAAGACCTGCTACAACGACATGAAACCACCAGCATCGAAAAACTCAAGTACTGACACTTTGAACCATCCGAGGGGCACAACAACGCGACACCGGAGGAGCACCATAAGGAATTCCTGGCCAAGCTCGTGACCCGGTTGGTCTACACTTGTAACCACCAGCAGTCCGAGCTGGCGATTCTCCGACGGGCAATGCAGAGCCATAAGGATCTGCATGAGGATGCTACACGGACACTTCATTCCCGTGTACAAGACTTGGAGCAAGTTGCACCAAGACCGAATGCTGGCGAGACGAGCAGTGCACCCTCTACCCGCCAGTTGGAGGAACAAGTTGCCCACGTAGTCGCAATGCTCGTCAGCATCAGTACGTTCGCTGCACCAGCCACCATCAGCAACCAGCTGGACACCTTAAAGACCGAGGCTCAGCAACTGCAGCTGCCTAACAAGGATGGCAACACCACGCAACATTACAAAATGTCGACATTCCATATCGAGAAGTTCGATGATTATACGCATCAAGACCCGGTCCTCTGGGGGGAGAGCTTTACGACGCAACTTCGGATTTTGTTCATCGCCAAGCACGCGTACATCGGCGCGTTGTTCCTCAACTCAAAGGGCGGATGCCAGATCCGGTTGAGCCACCTGGCAACCGTCCACGGCGTCCACGTCACAGATCTGAAAGATAAGATCTCTTGGGAAGAGCTAACACGGCTATGGAAGAAGTGGTTCATCGTGGACGACGTGCCAACACTCGTCATCAACCGCCTCTTCACTATGGCGCAAGGCAACACATCAACACGTGACTGACTCACAGAATGGCAAAAGATCGCAGCAACGCCCGATCAAGAATTGTCATTTTCGCATCTGCGCCGAGAGTTCTACAACCGGTCGTGTGGCGCCTTGAGCCTTGCATTTGGTGATCGCAAGCAGTACGCAACCTTCATTGAAATCATCGACAAGGCAAGGGAGATCATCAAGACCAATAGGGCAGCTGCACATGAAAAATCAGCATGGCAGCCAACCAATGTGGAGAAGGTGAAAACTGGTCCGCGGCCGCAGCATGTCGCCGCAGTCCAATCGGACAACATTGTGGAAGACCCGGCAGCCACCCAGGTGGCTGCTGTCCAGCCGCGAAGCAACAACAAGTCCCGAGGAAACGGGAAGGCGAAAAACGCATCGCCGGCCGGAAACGAACAGCCAGCACCATCGGTCAATTTCACTAGACCTCGGTGGAATATAAGTGGCGTGGCCGCTAAGGCTGCTGCCTTTTGGTGCAACGGCACCAAGCACAAGACGTCCCAATGCCCGGATTAAGGCAAGGAGAATGTTCGGCCTCGCATCAACTCGGGAAACTGAGTTGCGCGGGAGGTGAGGCGACTCCACCTCTCACTCCGCTAGATTCGGCCGCCTTGCTAGCGGCCTCCTACACATCTGGGGAAGATGCGAATGTCGTAAGTTCTCGATATGCTTACGAGGACTATGTTGTCCACTTGGTCCCACCGTTGAACCAACCGCTCCACGAGCAACAATCTACCACATGCACGGTTTCATCACCATTGGCAACCGATTCGGCAGCTTCGCCGCCGTCTATCGTCGGGGATTCAACGTCATGGTCAAGACTTGAAGAGCTCGACCTGTTGACGTTTGCGGATTCCAATGGATGCCCCTTCCTCGGTCCGATCGATTGCCGAAACCGCATTGCAATGTGCTCATGGCACAATTGCTGAATTACTTGCACACTGCAGTACCAACTCCGTTGATGGACGTCGGAGTAGAGGTTGTCGACCTTCACGACTACATTGCGAAGATCGACCGCGAGTTCAAGACACAACGGTACGACGACATCGCCGCACCATTGTTATATGTACGCATTCAAATCGGAGAGGCGACCTGCAACGCTTTGATCGATTGCGGAGCATCTCGCAACTACATGAGCCAGGACTTTATGGTACAAGCCGGCCTTGGCCCACGTGTCCGGAGGAAGTCCCAGCCTACGCAAGTCACGTTGGCAGACGGTCACACGCACAAGTCAATTCACCGGTGCATTGATGAGGTCCCCATGTACTTTACCCCGCATGCAAGCGAGGCGGTGTCCTTCGATATTTTGGACACCAAATTCGACATGATATTGGGTATGTCATGGCTGCGAAGCGAGGATCACCCGGTGAACTTCTACCGCCATACCGTTCACGTTCGTGATCGAAAAGGAGTACTAGTCCCATGCACGGTGCCTCTTCCTCACCCTTCAATCAGCTGCCGCGTGGTGTCCGCCGCAAGCATGCGAGCTTCCGTCCTCAGAGACGACATCGAGGAAATGGGGGGGTGTTTTCTCCACGCCCTCCCGCCCCATGACGCTCATCGACGGACTCATCTTCGGACCCGCACATCACCGAGCTTCTCAACACCTACGGCGACGTATTCGAAGGCCCGCACATAGTAGTACCGGATCGGCCCATCCGCCACGAGATCATCCTCGAGGACGGGGTTGTACCTCCACGTGGTTGCATCTACCGAATGAGCGAGGAAGAGTTAAGTGTGCTATGGGCACAACTAGACGTATCGATTATCGCAAGCTCAACGCGCAAATGGTCAAGAACGTCGGCCCTCTTCCGCGCATCGACGACCTCCTCGAACGGTTGGGCGGCGCCAAGTTCTTCTCCAAGCTAGACCTCAAATCAGGATATCACGAACTTGAGATCCGGCAGGAGGACCGCTACAAGACCGCGTTTAAGACGCGATATGGGCATTTCGAATGGTTGCTTATGTCGTTTGGCCTTATGAATGCCCCAGCCACTTTCCAAGCGGCTATGACAACGGAGTTCCGACACATGCTGGATCGATTCGTACTTATCTACCTTGACGACATTTTGGTGTACAGTAGGAGTTTGGACGAGCATGTGGACCACCTGCTCACCGTTTTGGAGCGGCTACGACAAGCCAAGTACAAAGTCAACCGCGACAAATGCAAATTCGCGCGGCAGGAGCTGGAGTACTTGGGACATTATGTGACGCCGCAAGGCATCCGTCCGCTTGCGGACAAGATCAAGGCAATTTACGTATGGCCCGAGCCCACCAACACCACGGACGTCCGTTCATTCATGGGGTTGGCGGGCTACTATCAACGATTCATCACCGGGTACTCAAGGATTGCTGCACCTATGACGAGATTCCAATCGCCAAAGGTGCCATTCGTATTCGATGACGACGCACGCCGGTCATTCCAAGCACTCAAGATGACCATGCTCATGGCACCCGTCCTTAGCATCTACGACCCCACCCTGCCAACGAGAGTGACAACCGACACTTCCGGCTATAGCATTGGGGCAGTCTTGGAACAACACGACGACGATGACTGGCACCCTGTGGAGTATTTCAACCACAAAGTGTCTCTCATCAATTCGATTGATGATGCAAGGATGAAGGAGCTGCTCGCGTTCGTGAGGGCTCTCAAGCGATGCCGACTCTTCCTCCTTGGGCGTCGTAGGTTCACATGGGTCACAGACAACAACCCATTGACTTACTACAAGACGCAGGATACAGTGAGCAGCACGATCGGATGATGGATTTACTTCATCGACCAATTTGACTTCACACCGAAACACCTCCCCGACCTTTTCAATCGCCCAGCAGATGCACTCTCGTGAAGACCCGATATTTGCGCTACGACACATCATGCCTTCACATTTGATGAGGAACTCCAGTGACACTTCATCCGGGGCTACGAGTCTGATCCGGACTTCGCCACGTTGTATGTGCAGCTATCTTCGGATCACCCGCCGGCCAGCCACTATCGCATTGCCGACGGCTACTTGGTCCTCCACTCGAGAGGTAATGACTTATTATGTGTCCTATGCGATCGTCGTCTTCGGACTCGCCTTCTCGGTGAGTACCATGACTCGCGACTCGCCGGCCATTTCGGAGTCAACCGCACTATTGCACGGCTTCGACAACGATTCCGATGGCCCGACCTTTTTACCGATGTCACTCGGTATTGCGACTGTTGCGAAGTTTGCCGACGAAGCAAGCCCCGCAATCACAACCCCTATGGCGAGTTGCGCCCGATGCCTATCCCACGGGAACCCGGCCTCTCCATTGCCATGGATGTCACTGGACCATTTCCCCACAATCGCCTCGGACACGACGACATCCTCACGGTTGTGGATCGTTTGAGTAAGTACGCACATTTTCTCCCTTGCAAGTACTACTCCACGGCTCCCGAGTTGGCACGCCTCTTGCACACCGGCTGGATTTGCAGCCACGGTGTACCGGAAGACATAGTCAGCGACCGCGACACTCGCTTCATGTCGACATTTTGGACTGCTCTCATGCAGGAGTCCGACACGAAGATGAAACCAAGTTCGGTTCGGAATCCACAGCGGACGGGAAAACGGAGCGGGCACATCAAACCATTCAAATGATGCTTCGTACGCTCATCCGTCCGGATTAGAAAGATTGGGTTAACCGCCTCCCCGACATCGAGTTCGCCTACAACACTTCGGTGCACCCGGCGATCGGCGTGACTCCATTCGAGTTGCACCACGGTGGACGGAAAGGTCGTATCTTCGTCGATCTGCTCCTCCCACGACCAGCCGACATCGACGCCGCTTACTCTCCTTCTTCCGTCCGGAAGTACAGGGAATTGTTGGCTCAAGCCTGCACGAACATGCAAAAGGCTCAAGTCCGCATGCAACAGCAAGCCAACAGGCGTCGTGTGCCATGTCCCATTCGCGCCGGTGATCTGGTTTGGGTCTCCGCGGAAGAGTTTGCACTGGAACAGGATGTTTCAAGCAAACTGCTTCCCAAGTGGTTTGGACCATCGCCCGTAACATCAGCCGCGGGCGATGACCCTGATGGCCCTTCATTTGTGATCAACATCCCCCCGCATCTGACGGTCCATCTAGTCTTTCACGCCTCGAAGCTGGCAACATACACACCATCTAAGAGCGACGACTTCCCGGGCCGATGATCGCAGGACCCTCCTTCTATGGATGGTCATCAGGAAGTTGACCGCGTCATCACGGATCGCAAGTACGGCCGCAAGCCTTGACAGTACAAAGTTACATTCAAAGCATGTGATCCCGACAACACTCGGTGGATTTCAGGAATAGATTTGAAAGCATCTGCACCGCTGATCTACACTCACTACGAGCGACAAAGGTTAGCTCAGGGAACTTCACGACCTGCCCCTCCCACCCGAACTGTGGTCCCTCCCTCTAACAGACAGCTTCGCCCTCACAGGTAAGCTCGGTCTTTCAAGGGAGGGAGGGGGGGTGGCATACTGCGTAGCCACACGGGCCTTCGTGGCCCGTCCTGCATTCCCAGCCTAAAAGCCTAGAAATAAGGGCTTACAGGCCCCATGTCGTTTCAGCCTGAAAACTGAGAACGAGGGCCTGCAGGCCCTATTTCGTTTTCAGCCTAAAACAAGGCTTTTCAGCCTGAAACGGAGGGCCACTTTCGGGCCCTCATAAGATCGACCTGCCCTAACACTCAGGCACAAAACCAAGGTTGTGGGAACAGGCTATTTCTGACCTGTTCCCCACGACAGCCTCAGTAGGAGCTGCAGCGCCAGCCCCTGGTTCGCCCTGGCATTGGCAAGAGCAGCCTCCTGGACTGCCTCGCCCTGCAGTTGCAGGCAGTCAGGAGGTAGGCCTTGTAGTACATAGGGAGTTACCATGCACTTCACGGGGAGGTAGTTGGACAGAAGGCAAGAGCCAATCTTTAGGATTCGGCCGCAGCACTCTGGAGGAGCGCTGCAGGAGTGGCTAAGCGCTAAAAGTTGTCTTCAGCGCTAGGCGCTAGTAGCTGCAGGAGTAGTCTTCAGCGCAGGGCGAAAGTAGTGGTAGTGGTAGTAGTGTTGGAGAGAGATGGTTGGCGGAGGCTAGCGAGACTTACCTGTGGCGCCATAGCTCCGAGTCCAGCTCCATCTTCGAGGTACCTACATCAAGGCGCCAACTCCACAGGTTAGTACCGGACAGAGAGAGAGAGAGAGAGAGATTTCTTCTTCTTCCTCTTCTAAGTCCACCATCTCTTCTTTACCCTCTCACCACCTGACTTCTCAGTATCAGCAGACTATGACAGAGAGAGAGGGAGAGAGTTGTGACTTGGGACTTGACGACATTGGATCCAGATTCGACATTGGGATTCAGGCATTTTGACGAGGGACTATTAGGGTCTGTGCCTTGGACTCGGTGTTGACGACATTCCCATCTTTCCCTCTTCTTCGTCCAACCCCCCTCTTCTTCGTCCAACCCCCCTCTTCTTCGCCTATGTATGATTGGGGCTGGCGCATTCTTCCTGTGTGAGCGTCAGACCCCTTCACACCATGGAGTGATGATGATGATGTATGTTCGGGGCTGCATTGCAATATCGATTGTTCGGATCATTGGTATCTAAGTCTTCCGCTACGCTATCTTGTACTTTGTATTGAGAGGTCGGTTCTTGTTCTAGTCTGCACCTTAACAGTATGCAACACACAGTGAGGAGGGGTGAGAGCAGAACCTCCCACCTCGCTCAATGCCTTCCTCCTCCCATCTCCTTAGATGGTAGCTGTGTCCCATCCCAATGTCTGCATACAGTCCGAAAGACAGTCATGTGCATCACGCAGAATGACTATGGGCCTCGCTGCACTACTCTCGGCATGATGCACAACAGACAAAAATTATGGCGGTGTATCTTTCCATATTTTCTAGCCGATGATTCAGTCTCGTTTTACACATTTCGAGAGCACTGCAGGGAGACCCTATTTGAACGTGGAAAAAAACCTTTTTCCTCCCGCTTACCCTTTCAGGTCATCCTCCCACTTCCCCTTTCAGGTCATCCTCCTTCTTACCTTTTCACGGTCATCCGGCCACTCGCTACACCTCCGTTCTTACTGATCGTTTTGTAAAGCAAAGTGAAAAAAAAGAAACGCCAAAACAAAGTGGCGGGGGGACCATTTTTTTTTTTTTTTTTTCCCAACGCGCATGAACGTAGATGACATCTGCTCATAGATAAATCCATAATCAGGCATATTCAGGCTATCAACCCAATTCCTCTTCGGGCATGAAAACTGGGCCGATGTTCTTACACAATCTGTGCAGAATCGTGCAGAATTCGCCCAAGCATATACATATATATATATTATATATATATATATATGCACATATATACACATATATACACAGTTACGTTACAGTTACCCAAAAGAAAAAAAAATGGCCAACCACATGCATTGAAAACACACACCATTTTAACATGGCCCCCCTAGACCCCTATGACTTGATAGACTGGTCGGGGCATTGGAAAGAAAGAAAAAAGGACCACGCCCTCGTTTTTTTTACGGCGACCACATCCCATGCATCCTCGATAATGCTTTGTTTAGTTTTTGGAACAAGTTTCGAGGGTTATGGAGTGACTATCGACCGGTGTTAACAGGCTGGCCATCCGTAAGATAAGTTCAGGGGGACCAGTTTCGTCCAAGACCGTGAGGATTTTTTAATTGCTGTAAGGTGACGTGTTTTCCAACTCGGTCCCTTGGAGACTGAGGGGTTTCTGTTCAGAAGACGACGACGGTTCAAAATTAGGACCTTTTGCTTTTTAGCAGTGGCAAGCTTTGGTATGTTTTCTCTACAAGGCGATGAATTTTGTCCTTTTGTGCCACCAATCTGGGGCGTGAGACAAGTATTTCCTGTACTTGGCGAAGTGATGCAGTATCCGGTTCCGAATCTGCGATATCTGAAAAAGGCCTACGGATCGTACAAATAGATCCAGTATTGTTGCTTCTTGGTATACTGTGCATGAACTTGGTTGACTATCTAGAATAGGTTTTTCAAAGTGAAGGTACTTTGAACATGTTCTTTTTTTAGTCTCTTGGGAACTACGACTCCCTTGTAGAGTTTCCATTTCAACCCCATAAATAGTCGACTAGTTATCGTAAGAATTCAAAGACCCCTGATGAGTGCTGGCGAATGTGGCCAGCCGAAACCGGTCGGGTCACTCGCCATTTTCGGTTCCGATGTACTTCACTCATTATTATTTTCGGAACTGTCGCATTCGGGATAACTTTCAGTGTTCATTTTTTCTCTTCTCACTATCTTCTGTCTTTTTTTTCTCTCTCTCTCTCTCTCTCTCTCTCTCTCTCTCTCTCTCTCTCTCTCTCTCTCTCTCTCTCTCTCTCTCTCTCTCTCTCTCTCTC